GGGCTCTTGCCACCAAGCTCCAAAGTAACCTTCTTCAAATTCGAGCCAGCAGCCGCTTTCATGATTTGTCGGCCAACAACGGTAGACCCGGTGAAAGCGATCTTGTCAACGTCCATGTGAGCTGAGAGGGCAGCACCTGCGACCTTGCCGAAGCCGGAGAGGATGTTGATCACACCAGGTGGGAAACCAGCTTCCTTGACGAGCTTGGCGGCATAGAGAGCGCCGAGTGGGGTTTGTTCGGCGGACTTGAGAATGACGACGTTACCGCAGGCGATGGCAGGGCCAATCTTCCAGGACCACATAAGGAGGGGGAAGTTCCATGGGATGATTTGCGCACAGACACCGATCTAGACAGACTTCTGTCAGTCACGGAATCCTGCAATGAAATGGTAGGATGAACGAACAGGTTCCTGCTTGGTATAGTTGAAAGTCTCAGGGTTCGTCTCAATGACTTTGCCGTGGATCTTATCTGCCCAGCCGCCGTAATATCTGAGGCATCCGGCGCACATCCCGATATCGACCTTGGCCATGCTGAGCGCTTTGCCATTGTCTAACGATTCGATGGATGCGAGGAGGTCGAGGTTCTCTTCGAACAGATCTGCGAGCTTCACGAGATATCTTCCTCGCTGCTCTGCGGTGACAAGCCTCCAGGACGTCTCGAAGGTCTTGCGGGCAACGGAGACGGCGTGGTCGACATCTTTTTCTGTGGCTTCGTGAACTTCGCAGATGGGTTTCTCGGTAGAAGGGTTGATGGTCTCGAACGTCTTGCCATCCTGGCCCTTGACGAACTCGTTGTTGATGAAGCTGCAAGCACCGGGGTCAGCCTGCGGTCTAGAACGTTTGGTGGGGGGCGGCGAGATATCGTCGGATAAAACGCGGGGTAAAGCCGATGACGGGCAGGAGTCGCCATCGCCAACAGTGCAATGCTTTGAGGTGCGGAAACTGATGAAGAAATTGAAAATGAGCGAGAGACTCACAGTCCTGTGGGTTGCTCGTATTTGCCCGCTGCAGGCGTTTCTAGAGTTACTGAAAGAGACATGTTGAGGAGCGGTTTACTTGTTCTCGGTTTGCTGTAGTAAAAAGGTGTGGATGAGTAGTACAATGCAAAAGATTGTAAAGCGTTAAAGAGAAACGGGGCGTGGGAAGAGGATATGCAGATTTCTAATATATAGAATTCACCAACTGTTTTGCTGTCTTGTCCAAAAAGTTAAAATGAACAGGACGTTTAACCCCACACATGCTGTCTCAGGCTACACTAGATGAAGAATTATAACGTCATTCTCCACCATGACCTTCAAACTCAGTGTTCAGTATTCAATCAGAGAGGAAAGGATTCACGAAGAGGGGGTCTACCCCTCACCCGACAACCTTCTCACTTTGGCATCGGATGCACCTTCGTCCGCGAATTGCATGTAAGCCGTCCCATCAATGCAGGTCTCTAACAATCTAGATCTTTCCATTTACCCCAACCTGCCTCCTTTCAGTAATTCTCCTGAGTCAATTGACCCTTCCCCCCCCCACAAACGAGGCCCAGGTTGGGCGAATGTGGATGGATTGTCGTTCAAGGCTTCTGCTGCATGCGCAGCCTACTTCAATCTCCCTGATGCCGACTGATATAGTATGCAGGTCATTGATAGACAGGATGAAAGAGGCAATGAAGTGCAACACTAGATCCTCCTTCGCACAAATGGACACTTGGACACGGCCCCAGATCTCACTAAGGCGGAACCTATCATTAAGGTACTTAACTTGCAGGGTCAAAAGATGGGCTGAACGGAACGGATGGCTTGAAGAATCCAGACGATCTCGAGACAGTCTTGCCAGTCTGGCCCATCCATCTCGACTCAAAGCACCGGATACAGTTAAGAAATATTGCTTCATTCAACTCACATTGGAAGCTATCCGGGAGAGTAACCCTTTTAAACACTAGTCTTATGTAGGATGGGTATCTAATGTGGCAAATGCTCGCTAATCCCTCGATTGAACGCCATGCTGTACACGCTATGCGAGCTATTCGGACGTTTCTCGTGGGAGCTCAAGCTCTGACTTCGCTTCAACAGAACACCATCTCCCTCAACGTCGATTTCTCGAAGATCGTGCCGAAGGTGCGGGCTCAAAGGCATCGTCGTCATCAGAGATATCATCATCGCTGACCTCCTGTACCTTCTTCGTCGCGCCCCTAGGCTGAGTCGTAGGCTGGGAAAAGTTCAGCTGCGATTGCTTGCCCGCCGTGGGTGCAGCCGCCCGAGCAGGTGCACGCTTAGATGCGGCTGTCTTCGTTGGTGCTGCTTTCTTTGTCCCTCGCGTAGGTGGCTCCGGCTTCACAAAGATTTGGCTCTCGTCTTCATCGGAATCAATCATGACCACGTCTTCCTCTTCCTCCTCTTCTGACTCGACGACTTTCTTCTTGCTCCTTGAATTCTTCGCCGGAGCAGTTTTCTTAGCGGGGGCAGCAGCCTTTTTCGGCGCTGCTTTCCCTCGACCTTTCGCGGTTGATTTGGCCGCTGGTTCATCTGATTCGTCTTCATCCTCATCCTCAAGATCTGACCGGGCAACCGCAGCTGGTTGATCATCCCAGGCACCATTGAGGTCCGAGTCCCATCCATCTGGACGAGGCTTCCGCTTTGTCTTCTTTCGCATAGATCGATGGCCAGAGGCAAAGAGCTCCTCAAGATGGGATTTGCCCTCCTCCATTGCTTCGCGAATGTTGTCTTCGTCCAACTTGTCCATCTGCATCAACTGTTCAACTTGCTTCGATAAGTTCTCCGTGACAAACAGCTCCATCGCGTGCTTGTCATCTTTGTCGATGAATTGGCTGACCGCGTCACCGAAGGAATTTTGGGGCAGTATTGTGAGGGACTGCGCGGCGAGGAACTCCCGCACCAGCCTTTCCACCTTCACCGAGTCGATAGCGAGTGATGCAAGCATAGACTCTTCGGGCATCTCTGCGCCGTTCTGTGCCCTCTTAGTGCCACCTGTCTTCTTTCGATAGAACTGGACCACGTCCTTGATGTTGGCAACCTTGTCAGTAAAGCGGTTCGAAAAGCGCTGTGGGTTCTCGCAATCGAAATTACCCCCTTCGGGTGCGGTATACTCCACCCGCAGTCTGATCAGCGGCAACGGTGGATCCTCGTCATCTCCTTCTCCCTCGTTTCCCTGAGCGGCCTTCCATTCTTCGTGGGCTTGCTTGATCATGTCATCAACAATGCGCGTGAGGAAACCAGTCAGCTCAGTCCGATTGTTGGCCTTTTTCGCAAGTCTCATTGCTTCCTTCTCTTCAGATAAAACGATCTCTTTCATCACGAAAGGTCTGACCGTCTTCAGTCGGATAGTTTCCACCGTAAAATCTCGACCCGTGACACTTAGTACAGCAACGTGCTTTGGTACCGCTTCACCTGGCATGAGTGATGTGGCGATTGAGGATCCCGGCTGCATGACATGGAAGTTCATCTCGGGGACGTACCTGGGATCGATGAGACACTCGTGTTCGTGACCCCATATGACCATGTCCAAAAATTCAGGGAGGAAATGCTCTGGAAGAAACCCCTTCGGAGTGTGCTGATGGCTATTGTTAATTTTAGCATAGGCCCTTTTCTACGATGGATAAGACCTACTGGTTTTGATGAACACTCATGAGATTGAACCAGTCCTGTTTCTGTGTACCTGGCTGGAAGAACGTGACCTTTCCATCTTCGAAAGTCCGATGAAGCCGCTCATCCCTCACATTGCTCAAGCCGTACAAAGCGAGCTTTGTGTTTCCCTTTTGTAGAAGTACAGGCTTGATTTGAAGGTTGTCTGCTTCTGGAGTCCGTCCGTAGTAATTGAGTAGACCGGCTGCTTGGAGCAAATCGAGGGCTGCAAAACGGCCATCCTAGCAAATGTAAGCCAACTTAATCCCAGCTTCTATTGCTTCATTGCAACATACCCCTGATGGGTCATCATGATTGCCATGTATGGAAAAGACTGGGATGGCAACATTTATGTCTGGGTCTTCGTAATTGACATGGTTGAATGCCCTACAACGCTTGTCAGCTACTGGCCGGCTCCAACAACCGCTGTCTAATGTTGGCCTACCCTTCGAACACCTCGCTGCTGTCGCTGAGCATTTCCAGCTCGCAGGGCTTCTCTCCATAGCAATTCATTCTGAGAGATCGCATGACGTTGAACATGGCCTTTCTTGAGGGCTTGTTGTCGTGGAAGAGGTCCCCGGCCAAAAGCACCATGTCGACATCTTTCTCTTTCGCTAAGCACATGACCTCGTGGAAACTCTTCCAGCTATCGTCCCCTCGCATGGCGTCTCGCTCGGCGTAGCCAACATGATTGTCTGTGGCTACGAGTATGCGTATGGTATCTGCAGCTAGAAGGTCTGTTCAGTACAAGTTCTGAGATATGGTAAAAATGCTGTGGGAGTACGGTGGTCCGTCGTAGAAAGTTTCCTTACCAGGAAGACCAGGCATGATGCGCATCAATCTCTGCGTTGAATTGGAAGATCTTGCTGTCTCTATGTCCTTAGATCATCGTGACATAGATGTAGATATGAGGAAAATAGGGTCGAAAGACGAAGAATGATGTGCGGTTTGAACTTTGAATAGTATTTTACCAGAGTGTTGAATGACTATGGGAGACGCGGATAGTTCGTGTCAAGGTGGTCGACGCCGCTTTAGGCGGCATACGCACTTGTTATGCCAGCGCCACCAGGCGCCTGAAATACCTAAACGTATTGGTGGGTAGATTCCAAACCGAGAATCAATGGTTCCGAGCGTTGCGCTGGGAGTACAGTAGATTGCTGCCCAAATGCGCGAACTTGGTATTTTCCATTCGTCGAATGTTGACAAACGGTGTCATCTCCGTCATTACTGTGGGTACTTTATGTGACACAAGTGAGACGACGCTAGCAAGGCTCTCTCTCGCTCATCCTTCAGTCTCTATTCACCCTTCTACGCAAGGCACAAGCGCTTTTCAAAGACCGTATGATGCTTTTGGCCAGCTGTAGTGCTCCAATGCAGATTTTTGCCGTGTTTTTGACACTGGTTTCTGGCTACGTTGCTCTGTTGGCACAAGAACGTGCCTCAGACGAGCAAATGACGCTGAAAGTTCCGAGTTCGGAGCCAAAGAATATCGTCATTATTGGTATAGCACCCTTTACTGACAGTATGCCTCAAATTCTCATCATTGCGCAGGAGGCGGTATCATCGGATGTTCGACTGCATACTTTCTCACGCGGCATGCCTACTACAATCCGGAGATCCATTCAATTGTCATCCTGGAGGCCAGCAGAATTGCTGGCGGGTCTTCCGGAAAGGCTGGCGGTCTTCTTGCCGATTGGGCAACTCCGAAATGTCTTGCACCGTTGAGCTTCAAGACTCATGCGGCATTGGCTAAAAAGCACGGTGGTGATAAGATCTGGGGCCACAGAAGTGTTTACTGTGCCGACGTCGAACTTCAAGCGCAGGATGTCGGCTGCAAGGTTGAGGCAGCCAATTTTGCCAAAAAGGATGTCATTGCACAATCCTCCAAGGTTCCTTCGGAGCTGGACTGGTTGCTCCCCGGAAGTATCAAGTCCTACAAGGAGTTGGGGACACCAAGCAACTCTGGTCAAGTGAATCCATACATGTTTACCAAGACATTGGCAGAATTAGCAGAAGATAAAGGCGCAAAGATCATCATTGGTTCTGCTACTGCTCTCAACTACGCCGAGGACAACAGAAGCATCGCGTCAGTCCAGTACAGCCGGAACGGCACCATCCAGTCTCTGGGTGCTACCGATATTTTGCTTTCTGCTGGTCCGTGGACACCTAGGCTCTTCCCCAGGGTGCATTTAGAAACGCCCAGAGGCCATAGCGTGGTGATCAAGCCATCGAGGAATTTGTCGCCATATGTTTTGTTCCCGAACATTACAGCAACCCCCAATGGAAGCCTAGAACACATACTCTCCCCCGAAATCTATCCCCGACCAGGTGATCGACTCCATGGTTTCGACTCTGTATATGCTTGCGGGCCTGATGATTATGACGTCCCTTTACCGGACACAAGCGAGTCTGTGGCTGTGGACGATCAAAGTTGCAATGATGTTTGGACCGCTGTCAAGAGTATCTCGCGAGAGATATTTGACGGTAAGCTTATAACGAAGCAAGCATGCTACAAGCCGCAGATCAGAACTCACGAAGAAGGTGAGGAGGTGGGACCGATGGTGGGACCCACGGGAATTGAAGGCCTGTGGCTGGCGACAGGTCATGATGAATGGGGCATACAAAATGGGCCAGGAACGGGGTTAGTCATGAGCGAAATGATGTTCGAAGGAGCTGCTAAAAGTGCAAACTGTGATTCTCTGGATCCAAAGCACTTCTTAAAGATAGACTGACTCTATATGAAATTGTTCGGAACGTGCTCAAGCCCAGGGCAAGTTCCGACCGGCAGGCATTCATAGTAGGAGGTCCGTGGGGAGAGGCTTTTGTGTGGTTGGGAAGGGATTATGTTGGATGGTGGAGGAGAGCTCCTAGACAATTCGCTTGCGGATGGGGACTTGGAGGCGGAGTATTGAGCGGTCCGGTCTCGAGTCCTATGATGCGCTCGATAGTTGGCTTCGTACATGAATACCATGTTCAGGGTATGTCTAGTGAAATGGTTCACAGGTACACTTTACATGCATCAATGCTTTTGTGCAATCGCCTTCACTTCTTATTCCAGCCCCTCTTGGCCTGTCTCTTCGACTCTTGAAATCTCACATTGATCCTCCTTGATCAGGGATATTCCTATTCCTTCTCAACCTTCAGATACTTCAGCAGTGAGGTCTTCGTCGCAGATCCTATTGAGGAATTGCTATAAAGCCTCCTCGCGGATAGCTAAGCATAGAAACATTGACCAAGTGAAGGCGACCAGGATACGGAGGCGTATTTATGTACACTAACGGTGACGGCGGTGGTAATGTGTAGGTAGGGCGGCGAGGCTGAGGCTAGCCGGCTACGGCACGCTTTAACCGTATAGATCGCTTGCATAAATACCAGAGTTGTGCTCGTGGCGCTAGAGTTGTTATGCATCGAAGTGAATGCGTCACTAAGGCCGAAATTCACTCCCTTACTTGAAGTACTGTACACTGTGGCTTCTGTAACATTGCATGTAAAGTCTACGACCATAGCCCTGTTGGCTTTTCCAACCCACCAGGACCTTCCCCGCTCCATCCAATTCGTCTCCCTACCTCCAAACTCGGGCCTTCCCAACCACAACGATGCCCCTCGACATGACCTCCTCCGACACCTACGACACCCCGGACTCCTCCCCAGACCCCTACGACACCTCTTCCCCCACCAGCGCCACCACCAATGGTCTTCCTTCCCACATCGACCTCTCCTCTCTCCCCTCCGGCCTCCCAATCCTCGGTCCACTCACCGGCTACACCACCGCCAGACAAGCAGCCCGCTTACGCAAGGAGTTGGCCCAGATGTCAGACACCGTCCGGCGGCCCCTCACCCAATCCGAGCAAACGGCCATGGTATACTACACAGCCAAGGGCTTCGCCATCGCCTCCTACGGTCCCACAATCGGCATAGGCGCAGGTGTGTACCAGACGTACGCTACGCGCGCCCAGTTCCGGTGGCCGATGTACGGGAAGATGATCAGTGATGCGCCGGCGGAGGGGGAAGTCCAAAAGGGATTCTGGGACGGGCAGAAGATGAGGGCGGGCGGCAAGGAAATATTGCAGGGCGTGAGCAGTCAGGCCAAGGCGAACATACTGCATGTCTCGAGGGGTTTCGCGTACTGTCTGATCGGCGCGTATCTTGCGCCGTTGTTCGTGAGCTCGTACGCGGCTACGGTGAGTGCGGTGGGGGAGGTGCGGGATCCGAGGTTACACGAGGTCAACAAGGCGGTGAGAGAGGCGGTGCTGAGGGATCAGAGGCAGAAGAAGGAGCGGGGAGGGGAGATTGTGAAGCAGACGGATGCCAGGAGGGAAGGAAGGATGCCGAATTTCCCGAGGGAACGGGACCAGGGGAGGGGAAGAAGAGGCGGGGGTGCGGAGGTGGATGATGCTAGCCCGACGGGCGGTGCTATGATGGACATGGGGATAGATGAAGAGCAGGGGCGGTTGAGTGGAGCGGGGGATATGGGTGGAATGCTGAGCGATGGGCAGATGAGATCCGCGGAGGCAAAGGCAATGCCACCACCCAGCCAGACTCCTGCTGGGAACAGAGCGGCGACGTTTCAAATGGAGAAGGTGGAGAGGCAGCCAAAAGATTTCGGTAGCGACTTTGACGACGCCAGTCCTACGGGTGGTAGCGGGGCTATGGACGGTGGAGATGGAAGTGCAGGCAGCGTGTGGGAGCGCATAAGACAGCAATCTTCCTCTGAGCCTTCGGGGTCGAGCATGGGGAGAGGTAGAGGAATGAGAGGAAGCGGCATGCAGCAGGAACAGCAGGAGGGTTCGACCACGGGCGATAGTTTTTCCTTCTCGAACTCTGACGAAGAAAGAAGTTACGCCAAGATTGAGGCGCAGAGGGAATTCGATGAGCGCGTGGAAAAGGAACGGAGAGGGGGGGAGTTCAACAGCGGTGGAGGGAGACGGTGGTGATGCAGTAGGCAGCGTTGTAGAGGTAACACGTCTTGACTCTTCTCTCAAAGTGACGCTGGTGCTGGTGCGTGAGAATGTGTGTTACAATTACGGATCGACTGCGCCAATTTTGGCAAAACTTGGTCTGGCTCGTCGGGAAACGGCAGACACGAGGTTCATCAATGGATCCAGTTGTGCTCCTTGAGTGAGGCAAACGATTGAATCTGACGGAAAGAGGTGGAGGCTCTTCACCGCTGCAACATCGCCCTCCGCCATCTCGAAAAGGGTCAATAGCTTCTGTTCACGATCAAGCTTCTGCCTCAGCATAGCTCCTTGCCATAGTCATACCACCACCACAGAAACACAATCTCATTTTTCCCCCTTCCCTCACCACTTCTCCACACCCGGCCTGATATCAATCTCCCACGTAAAGCTCGTCTTCGGCTGCGTATGCAGGTGCCAATACGCGTCCGCAATCGCGCGCGGATCGATCTTGGCCTCCGCCGGCAACCCGTACGCCTGCGTGCGGGGGACGTTGATCACGCCGTCGATGACGGCGTGCGCGACGTGCACGCCCTGGGGGCCGAACTCGCGCGCGAGCGACTGCGCCAGGGCGCGCAGGGCGTACTTCATGGTGGCGAAGGCGGCGAAGAGGGCGGAGCTTTTGACGGAGGCGGTGGCGCCGGTGAAGATGAGGGTCGGGGGGTGGGGGGGTGTGGGTGTGGATGTGGAGGGGGTGGTGGCGGCGAGGAGGAGGGGGAGGGTGGCTTGGGAGAAGAGGAAGGATCCTTTGCTGTGGATGGGAGACGAGTGTCAGATGTTGGAATTTTTCACCCGTAAAGATGTGGCAATGGGGGATCTTTTCGCGTCGTTTGCGTGTAGTGTGCCATGCCGGCTGTAGGGGGGAGAGAGAGAGAGAGAGAGAAGAGAGAGAGAGAGAGAGAGAGAGCATGTGGATGCAACTCACACGCTCCCGGCATAACTCGCATCCAACACCTCTTCCGTCAGCTCCAGGAAGGGCTTTCGAACAAATGCCCCACTGGCGTTGAAGATCGCCGCCGCGCACTTGACGTCGTTTCCGTATTCGTGCTTCACCTTCTCCACCATGCCTTTGACGCTCTTCGAGTCCGAGACATCGGTCGATATCCCGATCGCTTTACCGCCGGAGCTGTTGATGGCGTCGACGATGGGGATGTAGGTGTCGGGATTGCGGGAGAGGAGAGCGACGGGGTAGGCGGAGGCGAATTTGCGGGCGATGGCTGCGCCGGTCTACGATCGTTTTTCCCGATATCAGCGTCGATTTGGGGGAGAAGGAGGAGTGGAGGGACGAGGTCAGGGGGGAACTTACGCCTGGGCCGACGCCGGCGATGATGGCGATGGTTTTGCTGGACATGGTGCTGGAGTGGGAGACGATGGAGGAGAGACGGGTGGTGGGGTGCATGAACCGTAGGGTTGAGGGAAAGGGTATTGCGTGATCGGCAAATGGGGGTTCAGTGACCGCTCAATGTATGAAAGACGATTGCCTGGCTACCTTTTATATATCAAGGCGCAGTTGTTGCATGCTTTGTGATCATATCATCGGCTCGGCCTTCGGACATGGGGGATTGGTAAGAACATCATGCTACCCAACAAATGTGTACTTTCAGAGCTTAGTGCCTGCTTGGAGTGTTATGATGTTGGAATTGCTAAGGGAAGGTACATGCACGGATGTCGTGATCTGGGAGCCCTATGTTTACATCTGACCTCGCTTAAGTCAAAACCCTAAGCTAGCTAAGAATTCTCTGAAGACAACCCCTTGAAAGGTCCCGTAGGACCCAGCAATCATCCTGTGGTGGACCCTTTCGTTACTTCTTCTTCGGAAACCCACTCTCAGTCTCTAACCAGGTCCCAAAATCCTTCAATCCGGGATGCATCCTCCTCAGCTTCGGTATATCCACATTGTATCCTTCCTCATCGAACCACTGAAACATGACGTTCATTTCCTTAAGCATCCACTTGATGAATTTCGCCAAAAATTCAAACGTAGTCGGTATCTCGTACCCCATCCTCTCTTTAAAAATCTGGCTCAACTGCGCGAACGTCAACTCATCCCCTGCCAAGCTGATGGCTTTGTTCTTATACTCCGGGCTATCGGGCTGCAGGAAAGCCTGACCACCGAAAAAGCCAATGTCTGATGTAGCGACGTAAGCAAGACGTTTGGAGGGCTTGAGGCTGGTTTTGATCCATGTGGCGAGGACTTTGCCTATGAAGTTGGGGGCCAAGCCGTCCATGAAGGCGACGGGGCGGAGGATGGTGTATTGCATTCTGGCGTCGGCAGCTCTGGCTTTAAGGTAGATCTCGATGTCGTGTTTGCTAATGAAATGAGGCACATAGGTTGGGTGTTCTCCGCCTCGGTCGACAGAGGTGTAGACGAAGATCTGGACGTTGTGGGCGATAGCTTGATCCACCACAGCTTTCCCCTGCTTGGTCTCGCGTTCCTGTGTAGCCCCATCCTGAACAGCTTGCAGGACGCTGAAAACGCCCCAGATGGGTTGACCATCCGAAACCTCGAGAGCGGCTTTGAAGACGTTGGGAGTATCGTCGAGGTCGCCCTTGACCAGTTTTATGATGGTGGATTTGGCCGCGAGGGCTTTAGCGGAGGGAGAGTTAGGATTCCGGGTGAGAGCGAGGATGGTAAAGTTGGCTTTGGAGTCGGAGGCTAGGATTGTGTCGATGACTTTGCCACCCTGCTTGCCGGTACCACCAAGCACGAGAATGGGCTTGGGAGAGGTCATGGTTGGAGGTATGTGTATACAGGAAATGCGTATGTGGTATTTATTGAAAAGAAGAAGGGCGAGTAGGAAGATGGGGATGGAGGATTCAATGGATACAATTCGTCCCCTTTATTTATATAAACAGCTAAGAGATTAGGGGAGGCTGAAAGGGTTCGCTCTCGCTCTCTTGGAGATGCGAAGTTGTCAATTGGAAATTTGATTACAAAGCTTGGCATTCAAGCAGGTCGCCTACTTACTCGTATTCACTAGAATTGACAATCTACTAAAAGTAGGATTTGCAATCTCAAAATAAAGTTAAGAGAGCGTAAAATATGGTTTTTAGAAATTTAAATATAATCCTGCTTAGATTGATAAAGTTATACAAGCTCCACACTCGGTATACCTTCCTAATCAGGCCTCAGCGCGCCTCTCTCCGCATTTATCTGCCCTGCAGGCACATAGATTAATCAACATCTTTATACCACATCACATTTATGAGTTATATTATATTGATTCCACTAACAAATGGTAGCAACACCTGGTCTCACTCCATAGGATATTTAGGCGTTATTTTAGACGTTTATGCAAAGCCTGTACCAAAAACCTAATAATGAGGCTTGATCAGATGAAAAATCCCGCATGACTTCTATGGAGCTACAAGCACTTGAAGAATTCGATCTACTCTCTTTTGACGATAAGATGGCTCGATGGACGAGATCGCTAGTCATTTAGTCGGTTATTTAGCTAGCCACTCAGTCAACTACTTAGTTAGCCACTTAGTTAGCCACTCAGCCAATCACTCAGCCAGTCACTCAGCCAATCACTCAGCTAGTCGCTCAACCAGCCACTCAGCAAGCCACTCGGCTAGAGAATACGAGTACCTCATCTATCCCTACACATTTTCATAACTTCCTGAGCATTATGTGTGTCAAGCAAAAGTGTATGTACGAGTTAACCTTCCTTGACATGGTGAGTTGCGAATAAAATTCTGGGTCAATCCGTCGCGCCAGGACCTAAGGAAGGTCAAGGGAGGAAATGGGTTTTGCATACGCTAAGTAATTGGTCAAATGAAGAGCCAACATCAGCTCTTGATCATTCTTTGCATGCGTCCGCAGAGCTTCAGGATAAGATATCTCCCAATTGCACGTATCGTGTTTTGCGAATAGATCAGATGTAATCATGTACAATAGCCTATCACAGTTCTGAACTACATACACCATAGACACGAGAGTCATCAAGCTGAACTTTTAACACCGTTACTGTTGTAGAATCACATCCCCCAAATCCGATATTTCACTCCCAAGACCGGGAAGCATCAGCAATTGCGTCCACTCCGCACGCATATCCACATCTTCCAAAACTAAGTCGAGCCCATAGTGAAGGAGCAAGCACGCAGTATGATAAAAAGGTGACTGTAATAGACGCCGCAGCACGTCCTTACCATCTTCAATTGCTGGATACTTGAAGAATTGGCCTGTGAGCCTTGAACCGGAGGTGGGCCTATAACGGTCCCAGATCCAGAGCGAAAGTGGTGTTCTTCCGGCATTGTCCTGTTCTATGGAATCTATCCCTGTCAGAAGCAAGTCTTCAATGATCTCGCTATTACCCCTAGAACTCCATACTGCATGATACAGGAGCGTCCGTCCATTTCGGTCTCGACAATTTATGTTCGCTCCCTTCTTGATCAGATCCCGGTATATATCCTTGGAACCAAAGCGGACAGCGAGAACCAAGATCTCCTCACCATTTGCCAACGAGCTGAGGGATAGAGTATTCAAGTCCCAAAAGGTTTGAATGATTTCTGTCTGCTCCAAAGCCAAAGCCAGCTCGAGGTGCTCATCCGTGGGGCAAAATTTTCGGTCAAACAGCCATCGCACTACTGAAGTCTGACCATAATGTATGGCCAACGACATCAGTTTTGTAGAGCGACCGTCAAAGTCGTTGGTGCTCTGGTTCGCCTCAAAGTGGTCGAGAACCTCTAGCCACCCAAAGCCGGAGTGTCAGAAGTCTGAATACCGAGGTTTACCCGGCTACCTGTAGGCTTCCCAGCAAAAATTCCCCACCAGTTTTGGTGGGAAGCCTACAGGTAGCCGGGTAAACCTCGGTATTCAGACTTCTGTGGGAAGCTAGGTAAACAGGGCTTCGAACATTTTTTTTGGCTGTACAAGTAGTCAATTCGCATCCGGATATCTTGAAGTGTTGAGCGAGCTAACTCAGACGGCGAGTAAATTAACTCTGATTGTGAAGGAAGCGACTCTGACTCAAGCAAACCATGATTAAGCCTATATGCCTCGGTTACCCATGTATTGAAGGCATCACTACTTCCAGCGCTGGTGGCGCCGTTGAAGAGGAAGCGCTTGCCATGAAGCTCAAAGACTTCCTTCCGAAGTTGTTCTCCGAGTCTATGGTAGTGGAAAATCCAATAAAGAATCGCATAGGACCAGAAAGGGTCACCAGATGGCTGATGACAGGTCACTGTCTGCAATGATCTCTCCACAACAGACCTATTTGCTTCAAACGTAGTGTAGCCCGGTTGAGACTCGAGAGACTCCCGGACTGACAAATGTGCGAATCGAAATCTGTCCAGCGATTCGTCGTATACTACCAAGGTGGAGCAGACATCCAAAATATCTGGAATGGAAAGACTTCGATACTTGATATTGTCCCTGAGCATGCTGCGATGGTGACACGGGATCTTGCGTCATCGGCGCAGAGAAGCCATTTGAAGAATGTCTCCGCAAGAGTACTACCACGCTGCTCAATTGCACCGATGTCTTCCAGGATCAAAGAATACATGCCAGCAAGGGATCGGGGGAGTCGGGCAAGCTCATCCACCAGGTCGCCTTCAATTTTGATACGGCGACTGTCACACAGGCTCTCGATTTGCAGACTTACCCAGAGAAACTTGTGTCGTGTTATGTGGGGAGACTAGTCCCTTCAGCAGTCTCCTATCATACTGTGCTTTCCGGATTTCGAACTCTATAAATCTGTGGATATCATCCTTGTTGTCATCGATGTTGATGTAGATATTTGGGTGCTTTTGCAGCCTTAGGACTATGTCGACATCGTCTCGACTGGATACGAGGACCTTCACAAGGTGAGCCGACTTATCCAACAGAACCTCCAGCGCCCCGAGCAGCTCGTGTCTTTGGCCGGAATGACATTCATCCCGAGCGTCAATGACTATGGTCACCAGCGTTTCTGCAACAGCATCAATGATGTTCTGGGTTGTTTCTGCTATATCGAGGGGCTCAATATCGGACACATCGTTATCAGTTTCTTTCCTTCGGCGGTCGCCGATGCGGACTCCCAATGAGCTTTGTAGCACACGATTTGCTTGAGAACAGCTCGCAACACTTCTGCGGGTTCTGAACGCTGGGGCTCTGCTGTATTCCTCTGGCAGTAAAAGTAGACAACAGGAGCAGCATTTTCACAAGCCGAAATCTCGGTTAGAAGCTGCTGGACGACCGTTGCCCTTGTCTTTGTAGGAGGAAACACATAGCTCTGCTGAAGTGGCTTACACCAGACATGTCTTTCCCGATCCGGCTATTGGATGTTAGGAGTTTGGCCACAAAGTCGATCACGAGGTAGAGTACCTACGTATGCTATGAAGCCACCAGACTGAGGACAAGCTAGAATCTCTCCACTGGGCGAATTGACGCTTATTCAGCAGCCATGATCCAGTACCTTCTAGTAAACCTATCCCATCGGCTGGCAGCGTGTAAAATTCAGGGGTTCTGCCCGAACATCCAAAAGTCCCTTCTTATAACCTATCGCAACTCAACAACGAGGACACCCACGAAAAAGTTTATAGTTTCACAATTGTTCTTCTCAAGCAGATATCAAACTTCACAGCAGATCATTTTACTGTAAAGCTTATTATTAAAAAGTTAATGCGTTGCAAAGGTATGGCATTTTGGATGTTCTGCCAAGACATTTTACACGCAAGGCGCCAGTGGATGGGCTATATAGACAGGGTCTGGTGGTGCTTTTTGTACTGAACGTTTGAAAGCCATTTCGGAATTGCTAGGCGCTCCTCTTTCGAATGAGACTCGTTCCTACTCTCGACAAGGCTTTCTGACAAGGCTGAGACTTGGTTCATGGTGCGAACTCTGGGCTCCTTGAAGTATGTGAGCAGCGCTTCGAGTTTAGATGCAGAATATGTGGACTCCGTTCGCAGCTCTCCGAAATCATGGACTAGATGGTCGATTCGGTCTCTCGCTGATAGTTGCTGGGTATGGCTCAATTGCGACCGTTCAGCGTCAACGATCCTGGTTAGCTCTGAAACCCTTTTGTCATTTTCTGCAATCCTGTCAAGATGTTTATTGACCAAGGTTTCCGGTAGCTGTGTGACACTCCTACAAAAGGGAGCAGAGAATCTATGGACTGCCGTAAAAAGGCAGTCCTGGAAAACAGCGGAGCTATCTGCTTCCGAAAGATGGCATGTGACCCTGATTCGCTACCAAACAGGAAGACTTTACTCCCAAATTTACGTACTTTGCGACTCGCCGAGCAAGTCCAAGGTCGAAGTGTCTGCGGCACTTGAAGAAGAACCGCAGTATCGAAGCATAGGTAGCGACGATCGAATCCTCTAGCATCTTGTCGACCGATGATAACTGTCGGAAGTAAAGCTTTTCGATTGCAGCATAACGGGCAACGGTCTTGCAGATATTCTGCTTGTCCTTCTCTTTCATAGCCTCGACAGCTTTGTCCCAAAGGTCCTGGACGGTGGCTGCAATGGTGATTGGGCTGATTGCAGCCATGGGGGGAAGGATCTAGCGACCGTTTATTGGAGCATCGCTTGAGGGGACCTTCCCAACAGTGGACATGCCGTTGCATTGGACCGCGACCTCTGGGACGATGAGATTTTGTGACCGTACTGTGTACAGAAGAAAGAGGAAAGAGGAAAGAGGCTCAAACCATCAGCGCTGCGCTTGTTGAAGGTCGTGAGCTTGACATGATGATAGTGCAAGGCTGATTGTTCGAGGCTGAGCGTACCCAACAGGGCTTTCATGAATACCCAAAAGCAGCCTCGCAGCCCATTTAAATTATGTCAGCCAGTGTATCTGCAGCTAGAAAACTCCTCCATGCATATGTAGATCCATGCAGCCTTGTGCACCTGTATTCGAACTCCGGGCAAAGAATCCATCGGAAAGATCTTCTCTTTCTCCTCGGACAAGATCCATAGAGCCAAAAGACATCTAATGGTTCTGAGCCTTGGGGAAATACAGTGTAAATAACCATACAGTGCAGGGTTGAGAACCCTTTGTTAGGAAATTCTGCACAGAGAGAACCACTTGGGCATCACTGAGCTGCCAGCTACTGTATGTGCTGCTGCCTGGAACCCGTGCCACACTATGTAGGCCATACTCAAGACGTCAGGTAAAATTGTGGTAGTTGCAGTTGTACATTAGTGACCAAGATTGCGTGACAGTACCTCCACTCTGCCTCTATGGTTGATAGCTTGGTTCAAGTGCATTTTCAACATCGTATGTCTCCTCCATATAGCCATACGAGGATGTCTTTGGGGCGCAAGGACTCGGCGTAAACCAATCGTAAGGTGCTGAAAATTAAGGATAGACCACCCTCAAGTCGCGCTCGCACGTTGTAGAAGTTGAGACGCATCAAAACGATCAAGAGATTCCACTGTAAGGTTGAACTCTTGAAGCTGACCCCCAAGAACGCTCCTCTCTGAGTCGTTGTCTCAAATTTCGGGATTGACGCCCACGACAGAGCAGACTGTGAAGGTAACAGGCCGCTCTTCGCGCTGTATTCCACCTTTGCGTTTGCAGTATCGCCGGCGAGGAGCATCGAGTAGCACTGAGGCTGAGCAGCTAGACATGAAGTGGTCGAGCTGGAACAACATGAAACAAATGTAGTGCGTTTACTGTATCAGGTAGCGCAATCCGAGTCCAGTAAGCGCCTGTGAGGAGACAAGCCACAACCGCCCTAAGGAGAAAAAACAAACAATGCATGGCGCATGCCACATGGCGGCTACAGCTGTGATAAGATAAGTTGGCAGGCAGCAAAGTATTGCCATCACTATCACATCACCAGTAGAATCGTTCGTAAGGATGATGGTGGTGTGGTGAGAAAAGAAAGAACGCGAACCATAGGCCAGATCGGCATCGCGCCTCCCCCACCATTCCACTTCGTCGGACTCATCCACTGCATGAATGGATTGGAGTCAAGGTATCGGACTCCGGATGTAGCATGTTGTCGACCGTTTGAGGCTGAGATGTAACGCGGATTGGTCGACCCTGCCAGCCAGCGAGATGGAAAAAAGAAAACTTGAAATAAGCAACCTCCACTCTCGCCCGATACTGATGCTCCATCGCAGTCATTACCCTGCATGCCCCGACTCAGAATCCTACAACGGTACATGCACTCAAAAGTCTAGCCGTTCCAGCTTCCCCCAAAAAAGCATCACCTCACCGAGAAAGCGCACGGATACGTAAGCGTAATGCACCTCTGCCTCCTCCACCAACTTACCAAGGGGTCCCACCGTGCTGACTCGATGCAGGTCATCCCAATCCTGCATGAACCCAACCCTCCTTTCAACTAATTCTTCCTCTGCGGCGCACACTGCACGCCCAATCGGAAGCGGCCTTTACGCGCTGGAACGTCTGTGGAAGCAACGGCCGATGCAGGTTGGGGGTTTTCGTTCCTTGACTTGAAAAGTTCTTGGAAGCTCCGGTGGGGGGACCAATGGATGTTACTGTACCTGGTCGGATTGGACCGGCAGAGATGTGAGACGAAGCGAAGGATCCGGCAGCCCGTGGGTGGACATTTGGGCCTAGGGGACATGAGGGAAGGATCTACATTTCTGGTGCGGCCGGTTGGCGAATGGGATGGAGGGGGAAGCCGAGTGCGGGTAAAAGAAGCAGATTATGCAGAAATGTTGTAGTCAGATATTAGAGCGGTAATGTACATTCCCTGGGGGGCATGGGCTCGTGGCAGGGTAGGGCTGGAGCGTTCTATGTTTTAGGGGGAAAGGATGACAAGGGCGGCTGATGGTGTGATGTTTGAGGCACAATTTAGTGGTCAGCTGGTAGAATTTTGAGGATGACTGGGTTTCAGGGGATGGATATGTGTGGGACAGGCGGATGATGGTGGTGCTGGTATTTGACGAGTATGTATTGTATTGTAATCATTATTGGGGAGAAGCTGGCACGTACGAGCAGAAGGGGACCAGGCTGAGAAGGTAAATATGTTTTGGATATAGATGTAGATACAGACTTTGCAGTCCAAGGCAAATTGTCTCCAATGTGTGTGACTCAAGCTCGATCTACCTATGCTGACGAGCGTCAGTGACTCATGAGAACCAACGCGCCCAATGATGCTGAAGAGGAAACAGGATGAGGCCCAATATTTGTACATTAAAAGTTGAAGGACTGCACCATTGCAATGCTTCGCTGGTAAACGTTCCTTCCCAACGAAATGCAAGGGTATCTTCGCGTAAAGTGCTGCAAGGCGCCAGAGCAATGTAGTAGATATCCTCCAAAAGAAAAGGATAACGCAACGATGAGTCATCAGGAAAGACTCTGGTGTGCTCTAGGCGGCCGACGGACGGCGTAAGATCTCCTCGCAGTTTGCGTCAAAACGCATATTCCATAGCCTGATACCTTGCATCAGGCTCTCCGTTTCCTCCAGTTCCCTGTCTCTTCCGAAGATGGAATCGACAAACTCGCAGCCGCTGTTTTTCCCCATTTTCACAGATCCTTTCGCTCCTTCCTTCCTCGCCACCTTCCACATGTAGTCTTCGCAGATCTTCAGAAGTTTCTTGAAGCGCGCCCATAGTCGGTCGCCACCCGCCAGGAAATCCTTGATTGTTTCCCGGTTATCAGAATACCTGACTCGTGGCAAACATTCATCAGCTCTCTTCATCTTGCAGGCTAGCTTGATGAGCAGCAACCAGAGATCGCCCGCTACCTCAGACATCGGTGTTTGTGGTCCATGGTGGAAAACGGTCCAGTCATAGATCCATTTACCGAGCGAATTAGCATCAAAGACGCTCCCAAGTAGCAGGACCGGTGACTCAGTGGGATCCCAGTTTTTCAGCGAATACCCAGCAGGTATTCGGTGTTTGGCTGCATCAGCTGCTGTTGCCTCGCGTGGTGGCGGCGCCGCTTTTGCTGGTTTTGCCGTCGACGGTCTAGACTCCGATGGCCGGCGCGCTCGTGTCTTTTGTGAGTCAGAGGCTTTCTCTTGAGCAGGCACCTGGTTGAAGAAGAAGTGATTGTTAGCTTTGGGCTTTGGCTTGTAGTACTTTTCTTCTTTGTAGCGGCTGGCTTGTGGCCTGATGTACGTGAATGTAGGCTCATCTGCTTCGTCAGACGTATCATTGATGATAGGCTGTTTCTGCGACCGCGTGGAGGCGTGGCGCCTTGGGCCGTCGGTGTTGCCACCACCATGGATGCCAGTGTTTGAAAAGCGGCGAGCTTTTGGTTTGCTTCGTTCGAAATTGTCTCTACTCACATGGTCCTGGTATACCGGTGGCGACTGGTAGTCTGGCCTGGTAGCGTAATAGCTTTGGGATGGGTATCCTGCTGGAGAGTGCCATCCTCCTGGGCCTTGTGGGTAGGTGTAGCTTTGTTTGCGCGAATGTCGCTTTGTAGACTTTGGTGATGTGGTTGGTGATTGATACTGCGGTGGTACCCAGTAAGAGTAGTGCGGAATGGGTTGAGGCGATCCTGAGGGCGAGGTTGTTGCTGACGTATTGTAGTTATAGCGGACATATCCCTGCGGAGGGACAGAATAGTGGTACATGGTGCGCAGTCGCGTGCATCGAAAGGCTCAGGATGTTATGTACAGGCTTGTGGAGGATGTCGTCCCCGGTCCGGTCGAAGGCTGTCAATTGAGGCAGTCGATCTCGGTCGTATAGCGTGGCAATGTCGAAGGAGGAGAGAGGGAGGAGGAATTTGACTGCTGCTCTCTCTAGACATATGGTCGGTCGGAGGATTTCTGTAGGATCTAAGTGATCTTGAGGTATGGATCTATGCTGGCCAAGATCCAAATGAGGTAGAAATGATTGACTGTACTGTGCGACAACGATTGTATGGTGAATACTGATATTCAAGTGATGTAGGAGAGAGGAGCGGGAAAAGGGAGTGCAAGAAGGGTAGTAATAAGAAAGAAGTGGCAGGCGAATCCCTGTGGTATTTTAATTTGTAATGAAAGCTAGTTTTACTAGCGTATTCTGCTCAGGCACAACAAGGTTGTGGAGCTAAGATCCCAGACCGCTGATTGGAGGTTGTCGAATGTTCTCTTCCGAACAGAGTCTCTCTTCACTGGCCCTCGGCACTCCTGACCTGAAGCTGCGATGAGTCTTTGCCTGAAGCTGAATTGCCCGTTACGAAGTGATAGGCAAAGGTTCCAAACTTTGGGGATTTTCGGTTGGAATTAATTGGTGGATATTACACGTTGAGGCTCTCCATCGGCAAGGCAAAATCGTGCGATGTTTATTTATGTATGGATGCCTTGGCAGTACATAAAACCTGCAAACAATTGCCCTTTCTCTTTCCTTTCACTGCAGACCAATCCTGCTGTACACAAATAGATATGTAAGACCGTTGCGATGACTCAAGACGAATGAAATCAGAACCACAGGACGTCTGGTCTGGTCCATTATATACTTGTCTGGCTTTCCTTTTGCTAGAATAATCCAGCCGCTTCCACCAGTCTGATTGCGCAGAACCTACGTTTGTCATCATCATCATCATCTTACTCTCACCTGCCCAGCATTTCTCTCTTTTCGTTTTGCAGATCTTCTCACCTCTCATGTCGTCCTCGATAATATATATGCTTGTCAAAAACGTCTTCGACTGCATACATATTAATGCAAGTTGCCATCGTTTAGGCAGGAAGCCGTCGTATCGGAGATGCTCGCTCACTTTCTTCCTATCACAGAGAGGCCGCTCAGACAATCGTCAATGCAAATTCATCATATGATAGATGGGTGGCTTCCATTACGGAGTCTTCCCCTCCTTTCTCCCAGCCACCGGGCACTTGGTCTGGCATTTCCTGCTCGGATCGTCTCGGTCTCGAGCCCATCGCTGGCGGTATCGTTACCGTTGATGCAGGACTAGACATATTCTCCATTGAAGATCCCCCAACTTCACCTTTGCGCAGGTCCACCGCACTCCCGAAACCTAATCTATTGGCCAAACTTGCAAGAGGAGCAATCAAAGCCATCTGCAACATCGTTGTTGCTCTGCGCCATGACTTTGTTTTGTGGGTGTGAGCGCCGGTGCTGCGCTGATCTTCGGAGAATTAACGCGAATGGGGGAGGGGAAAGTCCAATGCCAACTTTTAGCCATTTAGTAATCCGGTGGCGCTGCCCTGCGTGAGCCAGTGAGCGTTATTACTGTTTCTATTCTCTTCACCACTTATTGAGCCATCTCTTTGATATCAAGAGTAACACTGCTTTTACCTGATGAGAGCCGACTCATCACATTTTATATTTCACAATTCGACACTGAGACAAAATGACCCCGCTTGGAAGATGATGATGCTCAGACTGATAGAGTACAGCCGAGGGATCTGCAAGGGTGCTTGCATTAGCCCGAAACACTGGGGGGCATCTCTCGACATTTTTCATTGGTGGGGTTTGGGGGTCTCCAACTCGGCCGCCACCCAAGTAGGAAAGCTAGCGATAAGAGACCTGCATAATCCACTTGCGCCCGGACTACTTACCATAATATGCGCCGTCCCTCTCCCGTCCAGGAGCCTTATTACTGCACTTGTTGGAAGAAAACCGTTTAATTTGTTCGCGGCGGTGAGGCCAGACATGATTCTGGGCCTTCGACGACCAGTAGGATGACAGCGAGGGGGAGAAGTCATCAAGTGACAACTAAAATGGCGCTGTATCGCACGTCTTGTTGGGTATCAATGCCTCGGAATGCCTTTTCTCGACGACGAGAATCATACCAAATGATGGCCCAACGAAGATTGGATTCCAGTACGGTACTGTAAAGGTCCGGGAGCCCGGTTCGGTGCAGGAGCATCCCATCTCTAGGCGATTTCCAAGTATTGCACAGATTCACCAAAAAATGGTTCGGAAGGATGGATCTGTGCGTACTAGAGCATGTCATCCTCGCTTAGATTAGGGTTGGGGGGCTGCCAAGCTGAACACATGTTTTTCCACTTCGATTTTGGGCATCAAGCTGCACCATTGGAAAAACCTGTTTATCGTGCTTCGAATTGCTTCAGGGAAAGCGCTCAAGTACGGAAATACTTCGTCAGCGGTGCTGCTCTTGTCAATGCTTCAGGGAGTTCGATCGCTGCTGAAAGTACCCTTTTCGGCACCTTGCTTGAGGATGATTGTTCGGGTCCGCTCCCAGACTCTTGGTCGATGCATGGCTTGGTCGTCTTTTATTACGGTACGCAGGAGCCGGTCTTTCCAGGGGGGAACTTGCAGCGTAAGAGCAAACCTGAACGATAAAGACACTGCGAGTCAAAAGTATTGTGTCTCGATTTAGGGTCAGTATCTGTCATGCTTGAAAGCGGATTGAGCTTTGAGTATCTATTCTATCGTCCTTGAGCCGACCCGATAACGCCACGGCTTGCGAGAGTCCTCATGCCCATTCACTGACTCCAGGCCATGATGTTCCAACAACCCTACTTCCAGTAGATTCTGTAGCGGCCAGCCTGTCTAGCTGTGCTGCCCATCGATTACTTCAGGGATCCTTCTGAGCCACTTGCAGATCCTTCATCTTACCGGCAGCTCTGCCGAAGTTGATTGTTTTGCACCTCTCGCTGAAATCGAGTCCTTCGGGAGCTCTTTCGTGTATGGCAGGAATTCGGGCTGGCCGGGAATGTATTTGCGCAGAACCTCAGGTACGTTGATACCATGTTCGGTTTGATAATTTTCTAGCACGCAGCAAAGAGTACGCTCAGTAGCACAGAGCGTAGCATTCTACTCTCGACGTTAGCAACCTCCGGGAATAATGATGATGTACTGAACTTACAAGAGCGTGTGCGTATGTCTTTTTGCTGCTTGTTTGTGATTTGGCGCCATACCGTATCTCAAGCTCCCTCGTCTGGTAATCTGTGCAATTCGAACAAGAAACGAGCTCCTTGTACTCACTCTGAAATGGGAACCAGGATTCCAGGTCAAATTTCTTTGCGGCAGCATTGTTCAAAGCGCCGGAGACTATTGCAACGACCCTGTACGAAAGGCCCAACGATTGGTAGAAACCTTCGGAATTTGCCAGCATTTCTTCTAGGTGCTCCCATGAGTTTTCGGGTTTGCAGAAAATGAATTGTTCGATCTTTTCGAATTGATGCACTCTGAAAAGTCCCCATGCATCGCGACCGTGCGAACCAGCTTCTTTGCGGAAGCATGTGCTGTAGCCTGCGTACTTGATGGGTAGATCCTTCTCTGTCAGCCATTCGCTCTCGTGAAGGGCGGAGAGTGGCTGCTCGGAGGTTGCAATCAGGTACTTGTCGGTCTTTTCCGTGCCGTCGTCGGTTACTTTGTAAAGCTCTTCGTCAAACTGTGACAGCTGCGCCGTCTTGGCCATGGCTTCTCGGTTCATAAAAAAGGGAGGCTGGTTGGGCGTAAAACCTTTGCTGAATAGGTACTCCAAGCCATAGTTGACCAGTGCCAGGTTCAGGAAGAGGCCGTAGCCTGTCAGACAGTAGCCTCGATGTCCCACAATCTTAACGCCTCTTTCTGGATCGTAGCCGTCCAAGCGGTACAGAACCTCGTGATGTGACAAGCAATCCTTTTTTTGTTTCTGAAAACCCTCAGGCGCCCATTCCTTTTCCACCTTATTATTCGCCTGCGCAGGTTAATGTTACTCTTGGCAGTGCTCTGGAAAAACGAACCTCGTCATTGCTAATAGGCACCGACTCGTGCACATAGTTTCCCACCGTCTTGGCCTTCAGATGAAGCGCCTGCAGCTTCTCTGCGGCCGATGCTTCCTGGGCAGCTTTCTCTTTCTGCAAAGCTTCTTTCTGCTTCAAAAGGTCCTCCGCATCCTCCTTCGCCTTCTTTTTCTTGCCAATCTCCTTTTGGGTGTCGTTGACTTTGCTGCCGATCTTTGTGACGCCGTAATTGGTCTTCCTGTGATCCTCAAACATCTGAATAATCTCGTCCACGATCTCTACTGGCTCGCCTCGTCTTCGCTGCGACTCCCGAATCCGCTCGGGATCACCACCACGCTCGGCGATGAAGTCTGTGATGTCTAACATGGTTGACGGGTCAAGTTGGCGTCGAAATAGGAACAAGGAATACAATGCAAAACTCCAGAAACTCTGAATTGTGTGAACAGTCATCTTCCCCAGAACCGCCAAAGTTGATCCCGCACCGAACTAGCGGCGGTTCGCCCCGTGGGAAAGTTACTCGTACCCGAAGGCTGAAGGAGGGCGATCTCGGCGATCAAAAGACATCCATCACCACCCACAAGCCTACAAGACCTCAAGGTTCCTTATTCTCTTCTCTCATCGCCTTTCTCACTCTCCTATGGACTCTGAAATATTGAGGACGGGCAAATCCTCTAAGACTTTACCATGTCAGCCAACAACACATGCTCAAGCAGGCCGTCTGACCCTAGGACATTGGAACCCCACATGTCGAAATCTCCCCAACAGCCAGCGGTCAGCAAATCTCGAGAGCTGGCTCAGGACTTGAGATCGGGAATCAACAGATCTCATCTCACCCTCGGATGACCGTATCAAGTGAGAAGACAGACCGACCTTTTGCGATGCCCGGCGGCCTGATCACCTACCCTACGCACCTTGACGAAGCATCGATCGAGAACAGACATGCTGTTTCGCATGGGAAGTCTAGCTGGCCGATCTGTCGTCTATCAGATTCAGCAGTAATATACAGCAAGCTGTGCAGCATTCTACTCCGGTTACTAGCCTGGCGGATCGCAAGCAAGGCGCGGATGGGTTTCTCCAGCCCAACGGTCTGACTACATGTACAGGTAGGGTGCTGACTTGGCCACATGCAAGCGAGGCATTATTTGTGATAACGGCTGTGGGGGTTCACGGACTGCAACGCTCTCATCTGCTTTCTTTGGGCTATCTGCCGTATTGCCAGGTTAAGGTCTTTTGGTTGGCACGCGGAATGTTACTCGGTTCGTCTCTGACTCTTTGATAAGAGGTAGAGCTGGTAATCTACAGCCACGAGTTTTACGACTGTGCCGGCCGTCGTCCGTGGAAGTGGGAATGGCTGGCTATGCGATTTTCACGGAATTGGCGGACTCTAATCAATTTGGTGGTGGTGGTGGTGGTGATGCAACGTAGGCTGGGGTCCATGTCTAACATGCATGTCTTATAGATGGAGAATCAAGGGAGGAGGCACGATTATATATATCACAACGCCTCCGCTCCCACCCTGAAAGCATATGTTCTGGCGGAATGCTAGGGCCTAAAACGTTGCTTCAATATATACGTGGGAGCTCAGAGACCGAGTAGATTACCAGATGGGCTAGCAGACATCGTAGGATTTAGCCCCTTGCGTTTATAGCTTTGCCCGCTCAAGGATCATAGATTTTGACGGAGAAAAAAAGCCTCAAGCTCAGCAATTGCAAGCGTGACTGCTGGCACCGTCCTCACTCGCTATCGGCATTGATCTCGACAGCGATAGGCCAGGCCAAGAACTGGTTCCATCCTTCGCTCTCCCAATAGTTGTATGGGGTATCTTTGCAAATGCCATGGCCAATCGCATGGTCTTCGCCGAGAGTCCCAGAACTGTCACCGGTAACGATCGATTTCTGTCCCATCCATTCAATGAGTCATCGAGCAGGTTCATTCGATCGATGCACAAGCAAGCTGTTCAAGGAACCACAAGCTCCGCCGTCCTTGCCGTCCTGCTTAGTCCTGTCCTGTGGATGATGCACGGGACCGCGCCTGATCTATCGCCTTTGCTGGCCGCGAATAACAATGAATCCCCATTGCGACATACCCATGATCCTGACCTAACCCCCTTACGCCTCCATCCTCGATCATAATATCCAATCATCTATTCTTCGTCTGTGTGTACCGGAATGGCTGCCTCGTCCTATACACAACGCAAACCGTTAACCCTCTCTTCAACAACTTCCTCTCCTCTCCTTCCCTCTCCTCTCCTCTCCACCCGCCTCGCCCCCAGCCTCCCTCCCTTCCTTATCCAACCCCCTACCCTCCAAAACGAGACCCAAAACAGCACACTCACGGCGAAAACTCCCCAAGCTTATGTCCCACCATCTCCTCCGTGATGGTCACGTCATGGTAGATCTTCCCGTTGTGCACCTGGAACTTGAGCCCGACGAAGTTGGGCAGTATGGTCGCGGCGCGCGCTTGCGTTTTGATTGGGGGGGTCCGCTCGCCGGGTTTGGACTTGATGATGGGGAGGCTGTGGGTGGGGAGGGTGGAAGGGTTAGTGGTTGGATGATGGAGGGGTGGTTTTGTCGATGGGAGCCAGGTCGAGGTGGGGAAGGAGGAATGGGAATCGCTGGGGAGGCATTGGCTGTCTGTCTTTTGGAGACTTGACTTACGGGACGATGTTGGGACCTGCAGAAGGAATTAGCTAGAAGCTTTTGCGTTTAAAGCGAAGGGATTGATTGTCCACCTTTCCATACAGACCGCGCCAATAGCGCTTTTGTAGGCTTCATCGGTGTGTGTGCTCTGCAAGCTCTCTCTGAACCGGTCTCTAGCTCCTCGAAAAGTAAGTAAAGTACTTTAGGGGAGGAGTGCCAAGTAATCTTTTAGCGCCACGCTCATCTACGCTAAATCCCATCAGGCAATCTAGGCGAGTCCTCATCCACGACGATTCTTTCCCACAGCGAACACCGGCACCATCACCTCGAACAACCAACCCTCCCCATCTACCTACAAACGAACAAGCCGCAACCATGACGAAACGCACGAAGAGTAAAGCCATCACTTCCCCTCTCTCCCCACTGCCAAACACTAATACTATCGCACAGAGGTCGGCGTCACGGGAAAATACGGCACAAGGTCTCTATCTACATCCTCCCTCCCCCTCCCCAACCAAACCCGTCCCACCGGAAACCCATCTAACAAGACCGGGACCGCAGATACGGCGCCTCGCTCCGCAAACAGGTCAAGAAGATGGAAATCAGCCAGCACGCCCGCTACACGTGCACCTTTTGCGGCAAGACGACGGTCAAGAGACACAGCGTCGGCATCTGGAGCTGCCGGAGCTGCAAGAAGACCGTCGCGGGCGGCGCGTGGACGGTGTCGTGAGTGGCCCCTTCAATTCCCCGCTCTCTGATCTGGTTGGCCCGGAGAGGTTGTTGGTTCAGGTTTGTAAATAGGCAGTGGAAGCTGACGTGGGGGGTTTCTTGGGTACAGGACGCCCGCGGCGGCGGCTACGAGGAGTACGATCAGGCGGCTGAGGGAGATCGCGGAGGTCTGAGGGGGAGGTGTGGGTGCGGCGGGGAGAGTGTGATGGTTGTTGTTACGGGCGGTGATTGAGCTGGGCATTTTCATGCGCTCGGATCCGAATCAAATCAAATCAAATCAAAACGTCAATGCTTGAGTCTTTCCTGCCGCAGATCCTTGTGAACGGTTGCGTGTGGGGAGCGCGTTTGAGAGGTATCTCAGGAGTGGAACATCATCATGGTGTCTGGTGTGACTAGTCCTTCCTTCCGTGCTGTGTACATGCATTCCTTGCATTCCAAACCCCATCCCACACCTGAATCCCCCCACGCCCTTGAGAAATCCCCTTATCTATCTACATTGTGCAACTTCCTTGACGGGCAGAAAGTCGTGAAACGCTAAGTGGAAGGGGCCAGCGAGAGAACTGATTCCGATCGTGGCGTCTCCTTTCGTGGGAATGAACGGCCTGAGGGGCCTACTGTATATTTTGATCGGCGGCTACATGTCTGACCTCGCTCGGCCGTGGCGGTTTCTTTTGGTTGGATTTGCAAAGGGATTGCTTCGCGTGCTTCTCTTTCCGCGTGGTGGTGGTGACCATTCTGCTCCACCGGGTAGGTAATTCCTTCATTGGGAGGGAGGGCTTTTACGTCTGTTTCCCTCAGGTTCAGATTACGATTTCGGTGACGTTGGGAGCTAGAGCTCCGGAAGGGTAGCAGTTGTTATATTATGGGCATATGGATGATTTTTCTTGACCGAATGGGTTGGCTTCGGTTCTAATATCTACATTGAAGATAAGACACTGACAATCCTACATACATCGCCAGACAATTCTTGCATCAGAGGTGACATATTTGCAGCTTGTTCTCAGAGGTTGCTCTCAGGATTCAAATAGCCTGCTGCCATGCTTTATTTGCTGGTATCCACCACGTAGCGACCAGCAATCTTGCCCTCGTGCATCATGTCGTAAACCTTCTGAAGCTCGCTCATGCCAATAACCTTAAATGGTGCATTGATGAGGCCACGGCGGAAGAAGTCAATGGCCTCGCTGGTGTCCTTGCGGTTTCCAACATAAGATCCCTTGATCGTCTTCACACCAATGACAGTCTCAAAGACAGGTGCACGGAGGTATGCACCAGCTGGTAGACCGATAGCAATGACTGTCCCGCGAGGTCGGAGGTATTCCGTGGCTTGCTGGAATGGCTTCTCGTTGACAGCCACCAAGATGACTGCGTGGGGCCCAAGCCCATCCTCGGTAGCAGCTTGCACATCTTTGACGACGTTTGAAGATTTGGCAAAGTCAACGAAGGAGTGGGCGCCGAGCTTCTTGACCATCGCCTCCTTCTCGTCGCCAGTGTCGATACCGATCACCTGGAGACCCATAGCCTTGGCATACTGGCAGGCGAGAGAACCAAGACCTCCTCCGGCACCAACAATGGCGACCGTCTGCCCGGGCCGAGCGTTTGACTCCTTCAATCCCTTGTAGACAGTGATACCTGCACAAAGAATAGGAGCGATGGCATCAAGGGGAACATCTTTTGGTATACGTGCCACGTGTGCAGCTTTGGCAATGGCGTACTGTTGGAAGGTTCCGTCGACTGTGTATCCGGAGAGAAGAGCTTTCGCGCAAAGAGGTTCGTCTCCGGTCTGGCAGAAGTCACAGGCCAAGCAGGAGCCGTTCAGCCACTATGGTTGCATGTTAGTTTCGAGGTTGGATACTATATAGGGTGTGAATTTTACCTTGACACCAGCGTGGTCACCGACTTCAACGTCCTGAACCAATTCACCCTTTGCTACAATGACACCAGCCCCTTCGTGACCTCCAACGAGAGGGAGCTTTGTTGGTAATGGCCAGTCACCGTTGACGGCATGCAGATCGGTATGGCAAACACCAGAGTATTTGATGTTGACTAGAACTTCATCAGGGCCGGGCTTCTGAACTGGAATTTTGTCAGCGTTCTGGTCAGCTTAATGAAGTGTCTTGACTCGCCTGGAATCTGCTTATAGTCGACAGGTCCTCCGGTCTTCTCAATGACCTGAGCCCATTGCTTCTCTGGGATGTCGTGAGACATTGTAGACGTATATAGTCGTTAGGACGAGATGATCTTTGTGGGTGGTATTCGCTGATTGAGGTATTTGACCTTGTAGATTAAATGTTTCAGTGATGAGGAGGTCCGCAGGAAATGATGTAGAGTTGTTTCTCTTATACGCTCTCTATTCAACGTCACATCTGTCAGTCAACCCCACATGAGCCAGAGGAGGGGCTCGGGGCTCGAGGGGCAAAAACCTTCAGGGCTAGACTTGACCTACGAATCCCGCAGGTCATCGTCGATTGGTGGGGCCATGATTAGGTGCGTCCGTTGCACCGAAACTGAATTGGGGCAAGAACAGGGCAAAAAACGAGCCACTCCCACCCAGACTCGGCAGAAAGAGAGAAGTGTCTTGTTCAGATGTATTATTTTCCAAAGGGTTCATCTGAATGGATCTCCTGGGCATGTGCTTTCATCGTACTCTACTCTCAGGTTGTAAGGTACTTTTGGAATCCGGAGAAAGTGGAGGCGAGTGTGCATCGTTCTAGAGTACCCCGCCAAACGGGATGTTGGGGTGGACATGAATGGGAAGGCGTGCTGTTCCTCTTCGACCGAAAGGCTCGCAGATCTACCTTAGGCTTGTCAAAGAAGACTTTGTGGGGCAGGCCACCTTGCCCTTCTAATGCAACTTGCAAGCTGCTGGAAGGGACGTTAAATTGCGGGGATAGCCGTGCCCAGCTTCTCGTCAAATTTAAACTTTCAGTCCACAGATGAAGCACATGTATGCAACGTCTCGGTCTCCCGGAATGAATTGAACATCGCGGACTGCAAGATCAGATCCATGCAGCCTGCAAGCAACAGACCCTTCTAAATGCGTAAGCTTCTCTCTAGCTTTGCCATTTGGTGCGCGGACTGGAAGGACTCGATCGATCGAAGATCTCAGGGTCAAGGAGATGGTGCCCTTCTCGTCCTCTAGAGGCTTCCTAGCCAGCCATCCAGAGGGGAAAGCCCGCATCGTCGGCGAGGGAACAGAATTGGTGCATATTTTCAGGGTCTCGTATACGGTTGCGGTAGTCTTGCGCCTCCTTCTGCCGGAAGAGGGCAAAGGACAATAGGTGCCTGTCGCACTGGCTGTCAGCTCTTGAAAGGATATGAAGTTGAGACTTTGGAGCCTATACTTGCCTGTCAGTCTGAATTTGTGTTGGGGTCATTCGCTCAATCTTTTGCCGGGCCCCAGGAAGAAGCATCCAACACGTGTGGAATGCGTCCCGCTCTTCTGGCGGATGATGTATGTTAGGCAGACTCCAGAGTAGTCTCTCCTCATTTCAATAGTAACTGATTACTGCATCCGTGACTTCCGTGAGGGAGTGGAAAATGTAAGCATGATGGAGCACAAGGTCGGACTTGCTTCGTGGAGGTAAAGAGGTCGTCTGTTGGCCCTAGATCGTGCTTGCCTCGAAAGGAATTACTGGAGTGGTTCCCACAGCAATGACACTCAAAGTCTACCCTCAGCCTGTCAAACGTTTACTCTCAATTGGTGGACTTCTCAGAGGCACGACAATCAATGCAGCATGTCGACTAAGTATGCGAGAACCATGTGTATTTGTTGCCTATGAAGACTGCTCTAGTGCATCATATGAAAAAACGCCACGACGAATCATGGTGGGAGGTGCCCGAATTAGCTACAGATCTCGCCCAAAGCACAGGTGCCTTTCCTCCACCTTCGCCTGCCATAAGACCGGCGTGGTGTTCGAGCGGGATTGTTGAGAACTTATTGAAGCTGGAAAACAGAACACAACTAGCTGAGTATGGGTCATGACTGATACTGCCACTTCCGACTAGTTGATGTTTTCTTCGGGTCCCATGCCATGTGCGGAAAGAATCGGTAAGTAAGATATGCTATGGGGTGGAACTGGAAATGAGTCGATAAACAATATATTAATACAGTGTGAAAGAGCCTGTCCGACATCGAATGTGGTGTGAAGTGAGGAGTCGACAAAGATGAGGACCCATGGTGACCGGATGATTCGATGACGCGAGGTTGCTCCGAAGCATGGAAAAGAAGTTTCGTGAAGTGAGACCGTGACTGAGCTGAAGTGTGATCGAGCATGCTGTAAGTGCTAATGAACCTTGCGAATGGATTTGTCTGAGAAGATTCACAAGCGTACGAGCGCATCGGGCTTGTAGGCGTTCGAGGGGGAGCCGTAGCCGGGACCCATCTGCGGATCGACGGCGATAGACTTGTACTGGAAGTTGATGTTAGGGCGGAACCCCCAAGGGTTTTTCGTGAGTTCCGAGTACTTGAGCAAGACACGAGTTTCAGCGATAAGTTGACGGTCAATGTTTTCCTGCTTCGCACCAACGGACTCCCAGGTGACGCCGTTGCTACCGAACTGAGGAGCAGGGATCGGCAACCCACGGAGACGATTGAGAATGGCAAAGGGACCATATTGGTTCATGAGAGTCTGTTTGACGTAGTAGGGCGTCGCTGGATACGTGTATTCCGGGAAGTTGACGGTACCGTTGGCGTTGGTGGTCGCTGTCAGGACGCGAGGAGACATACGAGGCAGGCAGAAGTAACGCTGGAACAAGCCCCAGGCCTTCAGGACAATGAAGAGGACGCTTCGGAGGCGAGGAGAGAACTCGTCCTCGTACCTATAGAAGGATCAGACCGCACTCAACTGAACCAAAACGAAGAGACGACTCACCCGTTGCAACGACGTACATCCTCGTCGAAGACAGCGACAATGCATTTCCGACCAGCAGGCTTGAGGAAACCGGGAATCGAGAACAAGATAGAGTCCAGCATAGCATCGGAGAATGTGCAATTCCAGTGGC